GAGCTCAAAAGTTGAATGCATAAGAAAATGCCAACTCCCATTTTTAAAATGAAATTTGCAAGTAAGTAAAATCAGAGCACAGTGAATATTACCCACACACGTAATAGAAAATCTACCACGAAAATACCTAGGCACTTGCTTTTAAAGACTTAATTATAGCAATCCATGGTAAAGCAGAGAAGAGAAATCAGGCTTCTTGATTTCTAGAGATATTCTTATCCACAAAATCACATGTCATCTTTGCATCCTCGTCCCTTATTTGGATAAGCAACACAAATAGAAGTGTATCACCATAGATGTAGCACGTATTAGCCCCATCTTTCCTGGCTGCCTGGCTCCTGTCTATCCTCTACTTAGTGATCACTTCTGGGGGTTCCCTTCGAGTATATATATCCCCTCTGGATCATCCCCACTCCCTGTCTTGCTACTCAATGACAGCTTTAATGCTTTAAATCTTTGATAGTCTCCAAACAGCTAAGAAAGTCGTTGCAAGGCTTGTTGAGGCTGACAGGTCCAGCCTGGTAAACACGTCTTTGACCTTAAAGAGCTAAATGGGGACCTTATCAATGGCTACACAGTTACAATGGTTTTTGATCATGGATAAAGAATTGATATGATAAACCAACTTCCAGGGAATAACTTGGTAGTTATAAGGGTTACATGTAGACTTGGAAGAATTCTTTGGCGAGATTATCAAAGTTCTTCAAATTGGTTATTAACAGTATCTACACACATTTACCAGTGCTAGCTTGCTCATTCATTTACTCATTCATTCATTTTAGACCATTTTAATGAGGTATAGTTGACATACAAACAGCTGTACTTATTTAATATATGCAACTTGATAGTTTACCTCTCTTTGAGTAGTTACAAGCTACAATAGCCTTTTAAATATTTGCTGTTTGCACTTTCTCTATGAGTGCCTACTATATTCTAGACATTATTTAGGTACTGGGGATACAGGGTTAATAAGAGAAATGTGTAGCATATATCTGTGCTACACATGTATATATGTATATATATATATACATGTGTAGCAAGAAACAAACAAAAACCAAAGCAACGCACAACAGGTTTTTTAAAATATGGTAGAAATAATTCAGGTAGTAAGGATTACTACAAAACCAGACACACAAAAACAATAACAAAACAGAATAAAGGGACCCATGAGTTCAGACAGGGCAGCCAAATAAAGGTGCTCCGCAGTGATGATATCTAAACAGACTGAATAGTCAGTGTGCCATGTGGGTTCTTGGGGAAGACTCCAGCACAGGGAAAAAGCAAGCTCAAGGCTCCTGAAGATGGAATGTGTTTGTTTGCTGGCTGGAGAGCAGTAAACAGGTCAGCACAGGGGACGCTGGTGCCAGTGAAGCCTGGAGAGGCAGTAGGACACCTATCATGTAGGGTCGACCTTGCCGGTTACCAGAATGGCTTTGGGTTTTCTCCTAAGTGTCTGGAAAGTCACTGAAGAGCTCTGAGCAGTGGGGTGGTATGTTCTGACTTTGATTCATCTGGCTGCTGTGTGTAAAGGGTCTCTAAGGAAGAGGAGAGGAAGTAGGGATACTAGTTAAGCGATTATAGTACTGAGATGAGCGATGATATGTGATTCAGTATTAGCAGCACAGTATAAGAACAGTGGATTGTTGCAGGATGCATTGAGAAGAGGATTTGCTGAATGACTTGACATGTAAGAAAAAGAAGAGTCAAGGCAAACCTAAGGCTTGAGCAACTGGGTAATGCTATTTATTTGATGAAAAAACATTGGGCAATAATAGATCTGCAGAGGTAGAATCATGGGTTTAGTCTGGAAAACATTAAATTTGAGATGAATATGGGACATCCAAGGGGAAATACTGAGTAGTACCCCATTATTACCTAGTGGAACAAATGAGTCTAGAGTTCAAGAAATGAGATCAAATTGAAGATATTAACTAAGGCCCCTGCAGTCATGAATGAGTCTTAAAAAAACATGAATCTGGGCTGAGATCCTCCAAGGAATGAGTATAGAGAGGAAAAATATTTGAAGGGCTCCCCAACATTTACAAGCAGAGATGGGGGCTCTAACACAGTATGGCAGGAGGTAGAATGGCCCACTGAAACAGGATTTTGTGTTTCTTATCGAGCTGCACAAGTTCTTCATACATAATGATAGTTTGTCAGTTACTGCCACTACAAATATTCCCCAATTTTCTGTTTGCCTTTTGTTTCAGTTTATTTTATTTTTTGACCTATCTACTTAAAAATTGCTGTGCGGTAAAATCCATCAGTCACTTTCTGCACTTTCTTCCATTACATTTTTTTTTAAAAAAAGATTTATTTATTTATACAAGCACTGGGTACAGTCAGAAGCGTGGGAGGGTGAGAGAATTCACCAGAGCCAGAGCGGGGAGCAGAACAGGCAGACTGACGAAGTACACTGTTGAAGGGAGAAGTGGGCGTGGCAGGAGAGGTCTGTGCGCCCTGTGGGACCCTCCCCGGCAGCCGGGGATTGAACCGGTGCTGCAGAGGCTGCGCGCAGCTTTGCAGTCCAGCGCTCAACCGCTGCGCCACCGGGGAGGCCCTCTTTCATTACTTTTAAGGTTAAAAAGTCTTGTAATTACTAGAGGTTAGGTTTAAAACTTGTATTTAATTTCTATATTTGCTATGCTTCTAAGTTGATACCTTCACAAAAGATCTGTCACGTTTCCCAATATTATTTATCAACTCTTCCCTTGCTCTTGGTCTGGGATGTCTTCTTCACACACTATGTTTCATTTGGTTCAATTTCAATTTTAAGCTTTGAAATTGCAAAAGAGATAATGAAAAACCTTCCGTCAAGTTATCAAAATAATGCTTTATACAAGAATCCCATATGCATAAAAGAAAATACATAAAATTGAACCAACATTTTTGAGAAGAAGAAATGCAAGAATAGAAAGCTAACTAGAAAAAGAAACATGAAAGGTAGAAAGGAAAGGGCACAGCAGAAGCTGGAAAACGTAAAATGATAATACAAGTGCAAGTATGTGTTGACGACCTTCCCAGTGCCAGACATTAGCCCAGGTACCTGCAGGCCTTGAATAAGACAAAGTGCTTGCCTTCAGGGGGCTGATGTTTTAGTTGGGGAGAAGAAGACAGATGGTGCAGCCTTAAATGACATATGTACTTCAGTTAGTAATGAAAGTCATGAAGAAAATCAGAGACAGTGAGACAGAAAGCAATTAGGGGAGAAGACAGCAGAGAAGTCAGGAGAAGGGTCTCTGAGGTAACATTTGGGCTGAGATCAAAATTCTGAAGAGGGAATGGAAGATGGGAGTGGGAGGAACACTGTGGGAACAGGGAAGAGCTCAGTGCTAAGGCCCCAAGCAAACATACTACTGGGAGTGAAGAGAAAGGGGGAGTAAGGCCAAAGAGAGCAGAGGGGTACAGGAAGAGACTGGATTATTGATGATAAGAGGGAAGACATTAGAGGGGTTAAGGTGAGGGATGTCTGCTGTCAACTGCGAGTTCTCTGGCTGCTGTGTGAAAACTGCTTGGTGGTGGGGTGAGTGTAAAGGAGAGAAGAGGAGACTCTAACTAGAAAGATCTTATGTGGGCCTCCCCTGGTGGTGCAGTGGTTGAGCGCTGGGATGCGAGGCTGCCCGCAGCCTCTGCAGCGCTGGTTCGATCCCCGGCCGCCAGTGAGGGTTCCACAAAAAAAAAAAAAAAAAAAAAAAAAAGAAAGATCTTATGTAAAATACCCTAAATACCTTGTTCTTTAAACATAACAACAAAAACGACTTGGCATGAAAGGAAGGAAATATAAGTGACTAGATTGTAAGATTCCTGAGGATACAGATTGTCTGGTTTGTTCACTGTGTATCTGCATGACTTAGAATAACGAGAGCCAGATACCCGAAATTTGTTAAATTAAGTGAACACAATTACTATAGGGACTAGCCTTTTATTTGTGAAACAAGAATCAGATGAAATGAACAAACAAAAAAGAGCTTCAGAGAAGTCTCATGGGCTATAGAGCTGGTCTCGTAATTACACAGTACATCAAACTATGAGATAGATTTCCATCAAGAATGAGTAATTTAAAAACAACATTATACTATAACAAGGTTCAAAATACAAGTTTAAATTTAGCTGCTTTTTTGTAAACTTCTCACCACTTAAACTATGCATTTCTACGTGGTAGGAATTATATCTCCTTTTAGCACTCGAAGCAAGAGCAGAATACACTGTGTATATGCACCCCATAAATGTATAAGTAGGTTGCTGGAATCCTACTGAAGAAAAGCTAGCACAGAGACAAATACTTAAGGAAGAAAATTCGGACAACTTGGCAGCATTTATCATCACTAACATTTGAGTCTTCCAGAGTAAAGTTTGAAATTACGTTCTAATTTGAGCTGGTTTTGGTTTGACAAGTTAACTCTTGAGACATCTGAGTACTGTATTATGAAAGAACAAAACTGTTCATCAACCCTTTATGCCAATGTTAATTTCTTTTAAAAGTAGGATTTTAATGTTTTTTTATTCCTACAGTGACCCTTAAAATTTCTATGTATGTAATCACAAATGCACACACAAGATGCATTTATAAGCTTATTGTGTAGTTCTAAAGACAGTTGGGAAGCCCAATTTTAATTTTGTTACTGATAATTTAAAAATATATTATAGAACTGCCTCTTTTCAATCAACAGTAAGGATCTAGAAAGCGATTATACAAGTAGGAACAATTTATCCAGGTTTATTAGTGTTAGAAAAATGAAGCCGCTTAACTTCAAATTTTAACAAAGTACACTTTCATTTATTTAATTTTTTATCTTAGCACTGACATCAGTGTATATCGTTTTCCTAAAAAAAAAAAAAAAACTCAGATAATTTATTTAACAAAGATTCATAACATGCATTAATATCTTCGATTGGTATGCTAAATCTGGAAAACTTTTTTCAACAAATGTGCAAAATTTCCTGTTGGTCCCTGAGGAAGATATTTGATTTAGAACCTTCGCCATGAAAAAGGGACTTACCGGCTTTTGTTCATGAGATCTGCTCCCCGTGCTTTGTAATAATCTAAATTTGGATGAAATTGATAAGTCACTGGTCTTGGATTTCTCTGTAGTGTAAAAAAACAAACAAAATAATAAATTAAAATGTGTAAGTCTATTTAAATTATACATGCACATATAAAAGGATAAAATGGTTGTTTTATATTCTTTCAGAAACAGATACATAAAATAATGAAGTGTAATAATTACTATGGTTGGCTTTTGCTTTTATTGTTGAAGTTTTGCCTTAACTGATCTCAGTCCGGATTAAAGACTAGAATTGCTTTAATATGTTTTCTGTTTATTTATTTCATTGTTCACATAGATTTTATTCCTATTACTAGATTTATTTTTGATGATTTCAATCACTTTCAAAATAACTTACTAAAACATAAACAGATAGAATTATAATGAAATGCAAAATCATATGATATAGAACACTTGCACAATCTATTCTTAAGGGCTGAGAGACAAGTGTCAAGAAAAGGGCATTTTGGGGTAAGAGTTAATAATCAAGTCAGTTTTTGAAAACAAGAATGTTAAATATGTCCACTAGATGGCACACTGAGTCTTTCTTCTCTAAAAATGAATGAGTTATTTCAGAATTCAGCAATTCTTTTAGAATTTCTATGTCATAGCAATTTCTATGTCATCTATTCTTATATACGAGTTTAATAAGTGCCCAGGTAGTGGAAATATTAGTAGGGCATGTGACAACACAAAAGCAAACTGCACAGTGCACATTTTCATAAAAGCAGCCATCCCAGACTGTCCTTTCTGTCACTTAATATTATTTACAAACATTGCAGAAATGCCTTTTATCATTAGGTCAGTTTTATCTACTTAAATATGCTCTGTTATTCAGAGTATCCATTACTTAGATGTATCAAGGCTCTTATAGACAAATAATTAAATACACTTCTAGTTTATAAAAACATAACATGTTAATAACATACCAAATCAATACCATCATCGCTAAAATGTTAAATCATATATTTTTCATTAAGAATCTTGAAAAAACTTATAAATGTGTTTTACTATTTAGTGGTGTGTATCATTCATGTTAACAATTAGGACTTTGAAGCAGAGTGCTCTGTGTTTTCAGAGAGCTATCTCGACACAGAATGGCTGTATTTTATCTTAATAGAAAATTACCAATATGCTTTGCTATCAATCCTCAGAGACTTAATCCCAAGACACTGATATACTTGCACACAGGCGGGGGTATATAATTGCTAAGGTTAAATAGTTTGAAATTCATCAAGCTAACAAGCTGCGTCTTAATGGTCATGATGGACCTTTTCTTTTTCTGCTGAAAAGAGAGTATTTACACAGCTCAACCCTTTCATATCTCTTCCAAGTCAGCCCTAATCATCTGACAAAAATGACAATCCCTTGATTTAGCTCCAGCTACTACTCCTCTGGTTTGGTATTCAACACAGTTCTACAATAATCAAATGTGAATTGCCTTGATGAAGATAACTGATGCTTCCATGACTACCATACTATTAAGTCTAACAGTGCAACTTTTCTCTCTCTAGGAATGACATAGGGTTCCTCGCAGTAGCTGATGACAACCTGGACCCAAGTATAATGGGAAAATAAAATACAGGTTAAAGCATTGGCAGGTTGCCAACACATTCATGATTTATTAAAAAAAAATTAACTTTCTAGGACTATCACTCATGACTGATTTTGCTCTTTATTCCCAGTACCTGGAAATACATTTTGTTTTGCTAATAGAAAAGGTTTTTCTTCTCTGCCTTCCAATAAACTAATAAAGGATTCTGTTACTTTTTTTTTTTTGCCAGAAAACAATGAAAGAAGGGACTGCATGGAGCAATTCCTTGAAACATCTTTATAAAGAAATGACAAGCAATTCAAGACACAAGTGCTGATCTATCTGAGCACTTAAAGTCATTATTAGCAATAATGATTTAACTTGAATATATGAATGAGACTCAAGTGTTGCTTTCACCAAAGCCTCTTTAAATTCTGAGGAGACTTACTAGCATCAAAGGAAGAAGAGGCAGTTTGAAATAATCACTGTGCTAGGATGGGGAAAGAAAAAAGAATTGAAAAGATGATGTTGAAAAACAGCATTTGAAATCTAAGAGAAATAAAATCAGAGGGAATAGTTCAAAGCTATTTAACAGAGGAGGGTGCCAGCACTAAAATATAAGTAAGCTGACATATAGCTGATGATCTAGAATAGCACTGTACAAGAGCAATATAATCTGGGCCACACATGCGAGCTTCATATGTCCTTTTAAATTATCTAGCAACCAGTGTAAACAAGAGTGAAATTAAATGTAATTTATTTTATTTAATTAGTTCTATCTAAAATATTGTCATTTAATATATAATATGAAAAGTACTGAGATATTTTATATTCTTTCTTTTTTGCAAAGTCTTTGAAGGCCAGTGTGTATTTTACACTTACAGCACAACTCAATTTGAACCAGCCACATTTCATGTGCTCTACAACCACAGGCATCTGGAGGTTACTGTAATGGACAGCACAGAACTACATGTCTGACATGTACGTAAACCAATGTGTGGCTTGAAGTTCAGTATGTATAGACGGGGACAAAAAACAGGGCAGAAAAGCTCTCCGACATTAACATTCAGTGCTGACAGTTCTTCAATTTACCTGTAATTCTCTTAATCTTTTTCTGAAAAAGGCCTCAAAGAATCAAGAGATTGTGGAACAATCTCTACTGACGTAACTACGTATCAAAATGATAACTATGATTTCTTTAGGGGGATGAGATTAAATGAGCAGAATTCTAATTTCATGCAACTGAAACATTTTAAAAGTAAAGAAATTCTTGCTTTTCTAATTTTAAAAGATTTTTCCAACTAAAATTTTATGGAAATGCAACAGTTCTTAATTCTAATTTTTGAAGCACTGGAATTTCCTCTAAAATAGAAGAGCCATTAGAATTCTACACACGAAAAACCCCGTATCTGAGCAAGACCAAAGACTGTGCTAGTTGTAAGCTTTCCCTGTGTAGGGCAAGTGATGTTAGCAACTTCAACATTATTCTTTGTCTTTTTAAAATTACTCTAAATCTATTTTCACAGAGTCATGATTTCAATGATCACAGGCTTTTCCAAACCTATATGCATTAAGGAAAGTTCTTCTGGTTTGCTGAATTTTTCTTTGGGAAAAAAGACCACAAAATGGTAACCACATCTTAACTCATATGGGCCTGGGCATAGAAGAATACCCTTACGTTCTATGACCTGGGAGGTCTAACACTTGAGTATCCATGAAGATGTAGAATCATGAAATTCAGTGCACCTGGGTTTACCGTGCCCTCCCTATACCAATCCAGATGGACCTGAAATGATTCTAGAAGATTGCAGCTGAATAACTTCCCAAGTACCACTCAGTCTACCCTGTTAACAAGTTTTTGGAGCTCTTCTTAAAGCTTTCTCCTAAGCATTTTATTTTACAGCAATATAAGAAGGTTGAAAATCCCATCCATGCAAAGACAGGCTGGATTTTTGGGAGACTGCTTAAAACCTTGTGGACAAGGTGAATAACAAAGGCAGAACCCTTAATAGGAGAAACAAAGTGTTCTAGAGGAAAACAAACTATTTAGAAAAATAAAACAAAACAAAGCAAAACCCAAATACTACTTCTAAATTTCCAAAACAAGCTTTTGTTAATGGAGCCTGATTGCAAAATCAATTTACAAATAGTGCCTAAATGGTAACAGTCAATGTATGAGATAAAACAGATCGAAATCCATCTACCCATTCCATGATAGTGAACATTCTTCATGTCTGAGGTCTGTACTATAGAATAGTAAGCTGCTCCTTCATGTAATTTCAGGGGACAAACACCCTGTCCCTTACTGAACATGACTTTTGCTGATGGGCACCCCACCCCAACTCTACTCTAATGGAAGACTGTTCTCCCTGCCACCTGATCCCCAAGGTAATATTCCAGTATTTTAGGTTCGAACTCACTTCGTTATGGTAGTGCACACATATTTAAATGCTAACCCACACTAAGTACTATCAACTAGAAGATGGTATGAGACAATTTTCCTTATTCTTAGCTTGGTAAAATAAAATTTAGCCCAAAAAGGTCAATATAAATAGTACTTTCTGCATTGATTCCCTATCTCCTGTAGTTCTCACTTGAAGATATGATTATGTCTTTCTGAATGGTTCTGCTTTTCTTGAGAAAAAGAGCCTGAAGAGCTCAGTTATCTTGCTTTGAGTAGTAGTGACAAGGGCTGGCTATTTATAAACACAAGGAGCAAAAGAAAAGCAGCTCCAGCGATACCCAACCTAATTTATGAATGAGCCTGTAGGAGCTAGAGAAGAGTTGAAGCTATAAGGTAAAAGGGCTAAGGTAACACAAACTTCCCTCACTGCTTTGGAGGCACAGACTGAGCGGGCCCTCAGGGGCTTGGGCTCAGATCCTTGCTCAGTGCACGCCCAGCTGAGACACAGTGAGGGTCAGTCACACTGTAGCTTTCTTCTCATTTGCAAACTGCGGTCAGAAGTATAGGAGACAATTAATGGCACAGCGCAGTGGCAGGACCTGATAAAAGCTCAATGAGATGGAAGCTATAACCACCTTTTGATACCTCTGAGCACTGACAAATTTGAGAGCAGATTTGACAGCTTGACAAATTGAAATCCATGACAACACATAGGTAGAGAAAGTGATGTTTCATACTTTTGATAATCATACATAAATTCTGGGGTAAACTTGACCAAACATAATTTTTAAAAAACAAGAACACATATTTAGTCAGAAAGATATTATACACACTCAGTCACATATATGGGGGCAAAGACTGATTTATTTCTCAGGAGTGCAAACATTCATAAATTTTAAAAATTATAAAACTATACTATGCTATTATTATAGGATTTGTTTGCTGGAGGTTCTAATAATTAAAGTGATTTCCTGCAATATGTCCAAATTATTACCATTTTTATAGTTTATTGGTTACAATTTTTACATTAAACTGATAAAGTTTCTATAGCACTTGTTTAATAGCAAAGATTGATTTATATTTACAACATAATGAATTAAGTG